GCCCCAGTGTCAGCCTAGCTCACAGCAACCTGAGACTCTTGGGCTCAAGCAATCCTCCTAACTCAGCCTCTCAAGTAGCTGGGACTACAGGCATGCACCACCATACCCGGCTAATTTTTTCTATATATTTTTAGTTGGCCAATGAATTTCTTTCTATTTTTTTAGTAGAGACGGGGGTGGGGGGATCTCACTCTTGCTCAAGCTGGTTTCAAACTTCTGACCTTGAGTGATCCTCCCACCTGGCCTTCCAGAGTGCTAGGATTACAGGCATGAGCTACCTCACCTGGCCATAACCTTCTTTCAATAAAAAACACATCCTACTCTCCTACTACACTTTGTATCCAAATTCTTTGTCTCATATCTAGTAGTTTTAATTACATATATTAATTATGTTAACGCTTAGTAATCCTAATTTTTAGTGAAAACCCTAGGAAGTAAGCAATTTTAATTATGTGCCAGATGCAGAGCCCAGCGCAAAGGACAGAGCTGTGAAGACAATGCTTGGAGGATCCAATGAGACACAGCCAAGCTGGGGAGTGGGGCAGAGGATGCTGTCCCCAGGCCTCATCATGGCTATTTATCTATACTTCAAAACTCAAAGGCTCAAATCCAAAGACATAAGCGAGACAAATTAAGCAAGTATGAAAATTATCATAGAAGCCTGGGCTCAGTAGCTGGGATTACACCTGTAATCCCAGCACTTTGGGAGGCTGAAGCAGGAGAATTGCTTGATGCCAGCAGTTTGAGACCAGCCTGAACAACACAGCAAGACCCCCATCTCTAAAAACAATTTAAAAATCACTCAGGTGTGGTAGTGTGTGACTGTATTCCCAGCCACTTGGGAGGCTGAAGCAGGAGGATCACTTGAGCCTAGGAGTTTGAGGCCATGATCATGCCATTACACTCCAGCCAGGGCAACAGAGAAGGACTGTGTCTCTAAAAAAAAAATATATATATATATATATATATACATATATTTATACACACACATATATATAGTAGAAGCAATAGTTTTATGACCTAAAACACCTTACAGAGACTGTATGAATCTGTCTGACCAATAGACCTAGGCAAAAATGTTTAAATTTAATTTTACACGTTTCTATTTTATTTTACCAACAATATTAAAACTATATTTATTTATTAAAATTACCCAATGACTTGCACTCAAAACTCATTTGGGCTTATTTACTTAATTTATGAGTAGTCATGTATTTATAAGTCAATCTGAAATCATATAGACAACATATACATACACATGTATACATGTATACATAAAAATACAGACACAAATGGCCTTGTTCTTAAATTTTAGCTATGAGAATGTAAAACTCACTAGTTTAAAAAGGACAGCTGGATTCAAACTGTGCCTTTCTAAATGGAAAATTTTAAAGTTTATCTGTCTCATATGGCCAAAGCCCTCACTAAGTTTTAGAGAAAAGAGGATAAAAAATTTATATCTCAAAGCACAGAGAAAGAGAATTTAAGTGTTTTATGTTTTTTTATTTTTATTTTTTTGACATAGTCTCACTCTAGCCCGAGCTAGAGTGCAGAGGCGTCAGCTTAGCTCACAGCAACCTCACTCCTGGGCTCAAGCAATCCTTCTGCCTCAGCCTCCCAAGTAGCTGAGACTACAGGCGTGCACCACCACGCCTGACTAATTTTTTTCTATGTATTTTTAGTTGGTCAATTAATTTGTTTCTATTTATAGTAGAGATGGGCTCTTGCTCTTGCTCCGGCTGTGTGGGGCGCGGTGTCAACGCCATTACAAGTTGGCGCCTGTTTCCGGCTTTGCCTAGAGCAGCTAACAAGTTCAGCAAACGCACAATTGTCAGTTGCCCTGTGGCGCAAAAATGCAAACAAAGAGTCCCAATATAGACTAATGCTTTGGTGGCTCGACAGTTGAGCGGCCTATCACAGCTTAGGGGTTGTGCTTCTGGGATATATAGCAGCCTGCGCACTGCCGGGCTGGGTCTTCCGCATCATGTAAGTCTAAAGGGAACCCCATTAAAGCACTGTCAAAAAAACTCCTGTTGCCGCGTCTTCCTTGCTGGCGAGGCGGGCGCGACACGGCTGGTTTTAAACTCCTGACCTTGTGTGATCCTCCCGCCTCAGCCACCCAGAGTGCTAGGAGTACAGGTGTGAGCCACTGTGCCCGGCCTGATAGGTAGCTTTTAATTTACTCTCTGTGTTTTATCTTGACCATTGAGTTCAGGGTGGAGCTCACTGAGGAACAGGGCCAACAAAACATTTGTAGTTTTTAGGGCCTAATAATTTTAATACATGAATGGCAGGTGCACTTGGAAGTCAGAGCATTTAGATCTTTAAAATTCAACGACTTGGGCAGGAGCAGTGGCTCACGCCTGTAATCCTAGCACTCTGGGAGGCCAAGGCAGGTGGATCACTCAAGGTCAGAAGTTTAAAACCAGCCTGAGCAAGAGTGAGACTCCATCTCTACTAGAAATAGAAAGAAATTACTTGGACAGCTAAAAATATATAGAAAAAATTGGCTGGGCATGGTGGCACATGCCTGTAGTCCCAGCTACTCGGGAGGCTGAGGCAGGAGGATCGCTTGAGCCCAGGAGTTTGAGGTTGCTGTGAGCCTGACGCCACGGCACTCACTCTAGTCTGACCAACAGAGTGAGACTGTGTCTCAAAAAAATAAAATAAAATAAATAAAATAAAAATCAAGGACTCCACTTTTACACTGAATCCTGGGGCCCTAAAAAGAGGGAAATGTTAGGGAACCAAGCCATGCCGTGGTTTACAAAGACATGTATTGACATGTTTAAACTGTGCCCTGACTGGAGATTGGGCCGAGGAGAGGAGTATTTGGATGGAGAGAAATGGCAGAGTCAGTATCATGAGGCTGCCCAGGCTGTGACAGAGTGAGAACCATCTGGGTCCAGTGGCAGAGAGATCCACCAAAGTTTCACCAACTCTTATGGACTACTCGCTGATACTTGACTGACCTCCACAGGACACACTGTCTTACTCATTGGCAGAGAGTAGTAGTTACGTGCTTTTCTTTAAAAGCTTTTATTTACATTTATTTTATACTGAGTTTATTTCCGTGCCATAAGTATTTGTTTTTTCAGTTTCATCTTGGATATATTTGTCTTCTGTGAAACCTCCTCTTTGGTTTAGCGACAATTTGCTCCTTTTCAGTAAGAGTCAGCATGCTGTGGCAGGGAGAGAGCTCTTATGTGGTTTAATCCAACCGTGAGCTCTGGAAGTCTGGTGGTGCCTTCTTCACCTGGATGTGCTCAATGACCAGAGAATCTACATCTAAACCCTAAAGTTCAGCATTACTCTCCACATTTTAAGCATATGTAGCAAAAATTCAGCTCCTTTTTGGCCACCAACCCTGTGCCCAGGTCCCTATTTGGTTTGGACACATCTACCAACTCTGCCATTGTAATACTGGAATGGTACACATTGTTTCTATAAAGTGACATTGTTCAGATACTTGGTGACTTTTCATATACGCATACCCTTGATGGCCTGGGTAGTTTCCCAAGTGTTCTTAAAGTGAGCATGAAAATTTCAACCTCCTTATTGTATTATGGTAAAGTCTGGTAAAAAATTTTTTTAATAAAAAAAAAGAAAATTTGTACCTCTCTATTTGCATAATTTTGTGGGGGATTCTGGGTCAAGTGAATAACCAACCATTTTCACAGACCACCTGAGGCTGCTTAGGGGAAAAGCATTATTTGCTGTTCTCTAGAAAATCACCCAGCAGATATGGTGCCTATTTGTATCTTTGCTTAACTTATTTAAAGTATCTTGGGTGGACATCATCATTTTCAAGAACCCAGAATACTAATAAGCCCCTAAATCTGGCAAGGGCTTGAATACTTGGGTGTGGAAGGTTCAGCCTGGCTGGGGCACAAGGTGTGTCTTCAGCACACCAAGCTCAGTGAATGGGAATTCAATTTTTTTTTTTTTTTTTTTTTGAGACAGAGTCCCACTTTGTTGCCCGGGCTAGAGTGCCGTGGAGTCAGCCTAGCTCACAGCAACCTCAAACTCCTGGGCTCATGTGATGCTACTGCCTCAGCCTCCTGAGTAGCGGGGACTACATGCATGCGCCACCATGCCTGGCTAATTATATATATATATTAGTTGTCCAATTAATTTATTTCTATTTTCAGTAGAGATGGGGTCTCGCTCTTTCTCAGGCTGGTTTTGAACTCGTGACCTTGAGCGATCCTCCTGCCCTGGCCTCTCAGAGTGCTAGGATATTTCTTACCTAATTACAAAATTCCAGGCCTAAATTACCATCTGTAAAGGGAAGAGAGGAACGTAATCCCTTGTCAAACCCAAATTTTGCCTGAGCAGATTTGGTAGGACTTCTACAGGTGTATAGACTCCAACCCTCGACCCCAAACAAAAGGACAAAACAAAACCACCCTTTTTACTCCTACACAATCCGGAAGCCCTGGGCAGGGAGCGCAGCTGCCTGTCCGAGCGGCCTGCTTTCGCGGCGGGCGCCGGGCTCCCGCGCAGGCCGGGGCAAACCCGACGGCGTCGCCAGTGCCGCGCCACATCGCCCACGGTGCGGAGGCTCCGCCGACCGCGGCCTTCGGCGGTGACGGCAAGTCCCGGCGCGGCGCGGGCCGCGGGCACGGTCAGGACACGGTCGGCTCGCCGCAGTTGGCCTCCATTACCCTTTCCCGCGCCACACTGCTCCTCCTCGCCTCGGGAAAGTGAAACCGAGCTCCTTCAGGCCGAGGCAAAGGGTAGGTTCCACTATCTTCCCGCGGCGCAGGAGTGGAGGCAGAAGACACTCTAGACAGCAAAGGGGTGTGTTGCCCCGGCGCGGTTGCCCCGAGGCCCCGCCCCGGCGCTCTCCACCACCTTCGCGGCCCGCCCTCCCGGAGCACAGGACTACATTTCCCAGAGAAATCCGCGGCCCTAGGGGCGGTACCGTCAGCTCTCCCGCTCACGCCGTATGGCGACTGGCTATCCCAAAGGTGGGCGGGGCCTTATCCAGCCAATAGGCGGGAGGCTCGTTACGGCGGCGGAAGCAGCGGCGCTGGAGTGAGGGGTGGGGGGCAGAGTGCTAGCGCCCCGGCAGCAGCTGCGGGTCCGGAGCCTGGGGACGTCGCCCCACTGACGGAGAGCGCACGGGAACGAGCTCGAGGCGGCGCGGCGGCCACTTAGCGCAGCACCCAGGTAATGGCGGGACTGGCGCCCGAGAGGGGAGGGGAGGAGACGAGGGGGCGGGGCGGCCGAGCCGGGCTGCAGCGTCCGACCCGCTGCGCGTCCCCGGGGAAGGGCAGAGGTGCCTCCTATCTTGCGCTCGGACCCTGGTCTTTCGCGAGCTGGGCACGGCGGTTGGCCCGGCGGCAGGGGCCGGGTGTCCTGTGGCGAAGAAGGGAGAGGCACTGGGAGGGGTGGGCTGACCCCGGGTGGGGGCGTGGCGGACGTGGGCCTTGGCGGGGAAGCGGCACGGCCACTGGAGCGCGGGCGGGCGGGCGGCCCTGGGAGCTTGGCTCCTGGAGCAGTTTAAAGTGACTCTCCACATCCGGGCCCTGCGCCCGCCGCTTTCAGACCCCAGCCGAGGCGGGGCCTCCCAGCTCCCCACCCCCGTCACCGGGAGCCCCTGTCTTCCTTTGCCATTGGCTCAGCCTCGAGGGGTTTGGGCTGCCCCGACGAGGCTCGCGTCTGATTGGCTGGCTATCGGCGGGAGGGTGGGGCGGGCCCAGAGCGCGCAGATCGCCGTGGATTGGTCCTGGGCCTCCAGTGACGCGCCGGGCGTAGGGCCAATGGGCGGGCGGGGGAGGCAGGGGCTGGTTCGGGGGAAGAGGACTGGGAGCCGAGCGGCGGCCGGGGTAAGTGGGGCCGGCGGGGCTGGACAGCGGCGCCCCGGGGCGCCGTCCAGCACGGTTCTGGTCCGTGCCGCCAGAGCCCGGCACTGTCACCGAGGTGGGCCCTCCACGGCACCTCCGGGCTGGCGAGATGGAAGCGGGAGGTGCGGGTGGCGGGTGGCGACCACAGGTGAAGAGCCACAGTGTCTGTCTTGTCCGAGGGCTCCCAGAACGCTTCCTCCTCCCCCGAGACGGAGTCTCCGACACCGAAGTGTCTGAAAACCTGTGTCCTCCGGTCTCACCGGGGAGTTTGGGGTGGCGTTGGGTTACGGGCGATTCAGGGGAGGAGGCAGAGCTTGGCCCTGGAAGGAAAAGTCTGGGACGATTTTAGAGAAGATGGAGGTTTCGGGTCCTTCTGGCACTGGAGGGTAGGGGGGTGAAAGAGAGGAAGAAAAGGAAATCCATAAATGGAGGACTTTGCAGAAAAGCATTTGAGATTCTTTTTGCATCAGGTCTTGATGTAAGATTTCTAATCCTTTCTTAGGGCTGGGCATCCCCCCTCCGAATGTTCCTGTGCGATACTAATCATAGTTCTGTTCACTTTGGTGTGAGGTTTGAGTCTTTCAATGAGACATGCCATTTTCCATAAAACTTTAAACGGGAATAACATATGTATTGTGGTAATAACCTATTGTGTGGCTGTTGTCCAGGATTCAATGTTGATTTTTTTTAGCATAGCAATCCACAAGTATTTACAGAGGGTCATGGTATCCTCTAGCACCATGTAAATGATGTTGTTATTCATTGAACCGATGTACATGAAAAACTTACATAGTTTAGATAATGTCTGTACGTTCGTTGATCATGAGTCGTTTAGATAAATGATGCTGCTTTTGCTTTTCCAAAGGAATGTGTCATAGATATTGAAGATGCTTTAATTTCTCAATATTCTAATCTGAGAATCTAGTAATAACCATGTGACTGTGTGTACTGCAGGTGGAAATGAGTTCTCAACAGTTTCCTCGGTTAGGAGCCCCTTCCACTGGGTTGAGCCAGGCCCCTTCTCAGATTGCAAACAGTGGTTCTGCAGGATTAATAAATCCAGTTGCCACAGGTGAGATTGTAATATTCTTCTATATTTCTATCTGCTTGAAAAATATAGCGAGTTTTCTAACTTAAAAATGAGCAAATTCTTTCTAGGATTTTAGTAGATACTAGTTTATTGGATAGAAATTTAATTACTATTCTAATGTAAAAAGCCTTTTTTCTTCGTGTTTTAACTACTTCATTCACGTATACAAGAGTACACAGCCAGGCATGGTGGTTCACACCTGCAATCCTAGCACTCTGGGAGGCCAAGGCGGGCGGATCGCTCGAGGTGAAGAGTTCAAAACCAGCCTGAGCAAGAGCGAGACCACGTCTCTACTATAAATAGAAAGAAATTAATTAGCCAACTAATACATATAGAAATAATTAGCCGGGCATGGTGGCGCATGCCTGTAGTCCCAGCTACTCGGGAGGCTGAGGCAGGGGGATCACTTGAGCCCAGGAGTTTGAGGTTGCTGTGAGCTAGGTTGACGCCACGGCACTCACTCTAGCCTGGGCAACAAAGCGAGACTCTGTCTCAAAAATAAATAAATAAATAAATAAATAAAAAAGTACACACAGTTGTCCCTTGGTATCCATGAGAGATTGGTTCCAGGACCCTCACTGGATACCAAAATCCACTGATGCTCAAGCCCCTTACATAAAGTGATGTAGTATTTGTATATAACCTATGCATATCCTCTGGTATACTTTCAATCATCTTTAGATTACTTATAATAACTAATATGATGTAAATGGTATGTAAAGTTGTCATACTGTATTGCTAAAGGAACAATGACAACGACAAAAGTCTGTATGTGTTCTGTACAGCGGCAGCCATCTTTTTTTCCCCAAATATTTTCCGTCCATGGTTGGCTGAACCCACAGATGCATGAACCCATGGAATATGGACAGTGGACTATATACATTGATGCAACTTGGTTGTTAGTCTTACACCTTTTGTGTGCTGTGGATCAGTGGTTCTCACTGATGAGAATATTTGGCAATGTCTAGAGACATCTTTAGTTGGCACAACTAGAGAGTGCTATTAGCACATGATAGTAGAGGCTAGGGATGCTGCTAAACATCCTCCAAGACATGGGGAACCCCCACACTAAAGTGTCCAGTCAGCACCGCTGAAGTTGGGGAATTCCATCAAATGCTCTCTTTTTCTCTATGTATTAAGTAGAAAAATGGCATTGCAAAGTGAAATAAACTCCTTTTTTCACCACAACATTCTTGTGTTCCTTATGATAGTAGCTGAGGCATCTTTTTTTTTTTTTAACCATGAGAATGACTGGAAAAACTGAGGCATCTTTGATTGCTCTTTGTCTCTTTCTATAAGCTGTGATCCTTGTCTAATATTTCAGCCTCATTTCTTACTTCTTTGTCTCCTTCCTGCCAATTTAGTTTTTATTACAGATTTATTTTAATTCTCTTTAGACTTGAAGTTACTTTAAGCTACTTTATGCCTCCTGCCTGTTGGTATCTACTCATATTTTCTGAATGAATGATGAAAAGTTCTCAATTTTCATGGCCTTGGGACTTTGCACATTCTTTTCCTTTTGCCAGTTTTCCTTCTTCCTTTTCCACACTTAGTTATTTGGCTAATTCTTATTTTTCCTTGAGGTTTCATCTTAGATGTTATTTTCTCTGGGATATTTTTGCTGACTCTGTCTTCCACAACAATTCAAGTGGAGGATCCAGAAATACATCTCAACATTTATACTCATTGTTTATTTGTTTGTTTTGAGACAGAGTCTCACTCTATTGCCCAGGCTAGAGTGCTGTGGCGTCAGCCTAGCTCACAGCAACCTCAAACTCCTGGGCTCAAGTAATCCGCCTGTCTCAGCCTCCCAAGTAGCTGGGACACAGGCATGTGCCACCATGCCCAGCTAATTTTTTCTATATATATTAGTTGGCCAATTAATTTCTTTCTATTTATAGTAGAAATGGGGTCTTGCTCTTGCTCAGGCTGGTTTCGAACTCCTGACCTTGAGTGATCCGCCCGCCTTGGCCTCCCAGAGTGCTAATATTACATGCATAAGCCACCGCGCCCAGCCCTAAAATTTAAAATTTCTTAAGGAAGAAAAAGAAATTATGTGCAACTCTGCAGTAAAATTGCTTAGTTCACAAAATACACTAATCATAGAAGAAGCAATTGATACAATGTTCTTAATCAAAATTTAGTATGATTACTTTTCAAAAGACACCATTAAAGTAGAATTACATTTTATTAAAATAGAAATACATTTTGAATGTATAAAGAACCCCTGTGTAATTCAGTAGTAAAAAGACAACCTGATTTTTTTTTTTTTTTTTTGAGACAGAGTCTCGCTTTGTTGCCCAGGCTAGATTGAGTGACGTGGCGTCAGCCTAGCTCACAGCAGCCTCAAACTCCTGGGCTCAAGTGATCCTCCTGCCTCAGCCTCCCAAGTAGCTGGGAGTACAGGCACATGCCAGCATGCTCGGCTGGTTTTTTCTATACATATTACTTGGCCAATTAATTTCTTTCTATTTATAGTAGAGACGGGGTCTCGCTCTTGTTCAGGCTGGTTTCGAACTCCTGACCTTGAGCAATCCACCTGCCTTGGCCTCCCAGAGTGCTAGGATTACAGGCGTGAGCCAGCGTGCCCGGCCTGATTATTTTTGAATGGGCAAAATATTTCAATGGACACTTTACCAAGGAAGCTGTATGAATGCCAAATAAGCGGATGAAAAAATGTTCAGCATTATGATTCCTCAGGGCAATGCAAATTAAAGTCATTGTGAGAAACTACTACGTATCCACTAGAAAGACTGAAATTACAGGCTGGTTGCGGTGGCTCACGCCTGTAATCCTAGCACTCTGGGAGGCCTTGGTGGGTGGATCGCTCAAGGTTAGGAGTTTGAAACCAGTCTGAGCAAAAGTGAGACCCCGTCTCTACTAAAAATAGAAAGAAATTAATTGGCCAACTAAAAATACATAGAAAAAAAAATTAGCCATGCATGGTGACACATGCCTATAGTCCCAGCTACTTGGGAGGCTGAGGCAGAAGGATTGCTTGAGCCCAGGAGTTTGAGGTTGCTGTGAGGTAGTCTGACGCCTCAGCACTCTAGGCCGGGCAATAGAGTGAGACTCTGTCTAAAAAAAAGGAAAAAAAAAAAGGACTGAAAATACAAAGACCCGCGATAACAAGTATTGGTATAATTGTGGAGCAAATAGAACTCATACATTATTGGTAGGAATACAGAATGGTCTGTTCACATCAGGAAGCAGTTTGATAATAGCTTATAAAATTAAATATACACTTACCATACAACTGAGTGATCTTATTCCTTAGGTATTTGTAAATAAATCAAAATGTGTACTTTCGTAAAAAATGTATCTAATTTAATACAAAGAATTAGTGAATTATATATGTTAATTGTATTTCAGTAAAGCTATCGATTAAAAAATGGAGAAAAGATGAACATACACTTAGAAGATGTGTATGAATGATCTATGGTCAAATAAATAGATGTTCAACATTACTAGTCATCATGGAAATGCTAACGAAAACCACAGTGATATGCACACTACACACCCACTAGAATGGCTGTATATCAAACATTGGTGAGAGTGAGGAGCAGCCAGAGCTCTCATGCTGCTAGTGGGAACTTTGGAAAGTACTTTGGCAAAGTTAAACACATACTTGCCATTTGACCCAACCATTCAGCTCTTTTGGTGTTACTGAGGATGTCTGTAAAAAAATCTTTGAACTTTCTACTCTTAGGATAGCTATGTTATTATATGTAAATTATACTTCACTAAAGTGGCTTTATACATCAGAATTTTAAAAATTCTGAATGACTTGGGAGAAAAGTCAGTATGTAGCAAAAGAGAAAATATACATCAGTCTTTTCACCTAGCATTTGTACTTTTAGAAATTTTTTCCTGAAGAGATCACTGGACAGAGTTGTGGATAATAGCAAACATTTGGAAATAACCTAAAAGCCCATCGATAATATAGTCGTTATCTATGCAGTAGAATCTGATTTAGCCTTTAAAAAATGATGGAGTACTTCATATTACTCAATGGTTCCACTCCTAGGAATATATCCGATGAAATGGTACATATGTTTACTAAAAGACTTGTACAGGAATCTTTTGGCATTATTCAAAAGGCAAAAAACTGAAAACTGAAGTACCTTTTAACAGTAAAATGGATAGTTCGTGCTTTATTCACACAATGTCATTGCATATACAGCATTGAGAATGAAAAATCTACAGCTATGTGCAATAAAATGAATTTCATACTTGTAAGTGAAACAAGCAAAACACAACAGCCATATATTTGTTATGATTCTGTTTATATAAAGTACAAAAATAGGCAGCACTAATCTGTAGTGTTACTAGTTAGAATGTTGGGCTTCCTGGGGAGGGAGGGTGTCTGGGGGACTAGTAAGGTTTTGTTTCTTGAGCTGGATGCTGGTTTTTCAGTTTGTCAAAGTCCATTGAGCTGCACAGTTAACATTCGTGCACTTATCTTTATGAAGATTATACTTTAGTGGAAAAGTTAAATGAATAAAATCCCATTCCAAATTCAAGAGGTAAAAAGTATCTGAAAGTTTCACCAAAATGTTAACTGTTGGTGCCTTTGGGGGATAGATTTTGGGGCAGCTTTACTTTATAATTTTCCAAATAACTTAAATTCCCTACATAAGTAAATGTTATTTTTATGTTCAGAAAAGTGAGAATGTTAACACTATTTTGGAAAAATGATATATAAGTACAAGTTAATATTTTCACAAACTCTTCCTTTATTAGTATTTGTTCTTTGAATTTTTTAACTTAATTATTAAATACCTTGTGTGTTCTGGTAGTTCAGACTCCTGAAAGAAAAAAAATACAGTGAAAAGTTATCTCCCATCACCCTCAGTTTTGAAAAATTATGTGTCTTGCAGTTAAGAACTGTACTTAAAATATCTTTTTGGGAGGATTTGAGGGGGTTGTAGTTTTTTTGTTATTGAGACAAAGTCTCCCTCTGTTGCCTGGGGCTAGAGTGCAGTGGTACCATCAGTAGTTCTCTACAGCCTCAAACTGCTGGACTCAAAGGATCTTCCTGCCTCAGCCTCCCGAGTAGCTGGGACTATAGGTGTGCATTACCATGCCCAGCTAACTTTTCTGTTTTTTGTAGAGATGGGGTCTTGCTATTTTGCTCAGGCTGGTCTCGAACTCCTAGCTGCAAGCAAGTCTCCTGCCTCAGCCTCCCAAAGTGCTAGGATTACAGGGATGAGCCACTATACCAGGCTAAAATATCTCTATAATGTCAGGTTTTTGTAACTTTTTAGGAAAATATTTTAAATAAAATTGTCTTACAGGTTGTAAGGATATTGTACTTTCAACTATTTCAGCTCATTTTAGATGGTTGTCAGGCCCTTTGTTCATAAGGATAGGAAAGCTGCAATATCCAGAATAAATCCTGTGTTCCACAGTTGTGACTCTTGAGTCTGAGGTCCATCAGGAGAATCCAGTACCTAAATTCTCCTTGTCACTTTGTCAGTCCTGAAAGTTAACTTCAGGTGACACTCTTGTCTGTGCTGCTATATTAATGTTGGGAGACTATGACATACCGTCTCACCCTTCACGTCTTTCCTAGTCAATGATGAATCTGGTCGAGATTCTGAAGTCAGTGCCAGGGAGCACATGGGTTCCAGCGGCTCCCTCCAGTCCCGCGAGGAGAAGCAAGAGCCTGTTGTGGTAAGGCCCTATCCACAGGTACAGATGTTGTCTACACACCATGCTGTCGCATCAGCCACCCCTGTTGCAGTGACAGCCCCACCAGCACACCTGACGCCAGCAGTGCCACTTTCGTTTTCGGAGGGACTTATGAAGGTAATGGAGAGGTTCAAAATTTTGCATTGAACCATAATTAAAAAGTCACTAATGTTTGTAACAGTTTTCACAAAATCTTAGGCTGTATCATAGAACCATACTTCCATTTTGTCTTTTGGATCTCTGAGTTGAGCTGCTCTTTATAACTCAGAGCTCTACTGTTCCGCAGTGCCTAGTCTTAATGCTGCTGGACAGTTGGCATCGTAGAATATTTTCAGGTACCCATTTTGACATTGATATTATTCAACTTACAGACATGCTAAGTTAGTTTCTATCTTGAAGTAGCACTTGTTTCCAATGTTTCTTTTAATAGCTGGCTGATTTGGGGTTATTTTCTGCGTATGACATTGGGGTTATGTTTCAGTTACAGGGAGTTTTACTGCTTCCCAAACTTGGGAAGAAAGGCTGTGAGCCATACAACTCTGAGCTTTATTCACTGGTATACTTTTTACCGTGTGTGTGGCTTTCAGCACTCTCCAGGTTTGATTTGTATACTCTTAACTGTAGAGTGAAATGCATCACCAGTACAAGGCCATTGATGTGTCTCATGTGGTTTTCTGTTTGCAGCCACCCCCGAAGCCCACCATGCCTAGCCGTCCCATTGCTCCTGCTCCACCTTCTACCTTGTCACTTCCCCCCAAGGTTCCAGGGCAGGTTACTGTTACCATGGAGAGTAGCATCCCTCAAGCTTCAGCCATTCCTGTGGCAACAATCAGTGGACAACAGGTTTTTTTCCCTCTTAATTTGCTGATTTTCAAACTTAGGTGCCAAACTAGTGATCGTTATTTATTGAATGCCAGTAGTATATTAGGAACTAAAAAAAATTAAACTGTCACTGATAACTGCAAGGGGAAGATCGTGGGTTTGAGAGAGAAGGATAGCTGAAGGGAGTGGAAGGCAGTAGGCACAGTGGTCATTTAAGCCAGAATTTATTGAGCGTCTGCTGTATGCAAGGCACTACCATTATGGTGAGATACAAGTGTGGATAAAAGTGTTCATGCCCTAGAGCAGTCTTCATCCAGCTTGTCTTTGGTTTTAGGTAGACAACTCTGATGGGTTGAGAACAACCTCCCAGCAGTTGTGGTGGGCAGTGCTTCTCTATGTTTTTCTCTGAGGAGAGCAGATATGTACCTCCTGGGATACTAGTGGGTTCCCTCAAGCACTGTCTAGTTGTGAACATTTATTTTGAAGTCTCCTGTTTTTACTTAAATTCAGGCCGGGCACGGTGGCTCACGCCTGTAATCCTAACACTCTGGGAGGCCAAGGCGGGAGAATCACTCAAGGTCAGGAGTTTAAAACCAGCCTGAGCAAGAGTGAGACCCCCTCTGTACTAAAAACAGAAAGAAATTAATTGGCCAACTAAAAATATATGGAAATATAAATATAAAATATATGGAAAAAATTAGCCAGGCATGGTGGTGTGTGCCTGTAGTCCCAGCTATTCGGGAGGCTGAGGCAGAAGGATTGCTTGAGCCCAGGAGTTTGAGGTTGCTATGAGCTAGGGTGATGCTCTAGCCTGGGCAACAGAGTGAGACCCTGTCTCAAAAATAAATGAATAAATAAATAAATACATTTTTATTTTGAAATTTTGCAGTCTTACTCCATGATGTATATTTGATTTATGAAATATATTTCTTATGTATGAAAAAAGCAAAATCTCAAAACTATTTCTCCTCCTGTTTTCAAGAAAATTTGATACTTCAAAAAGATGGACTGTATTTTTTTCTTTTTGTCATACTGCTAAGTATTCCCAAAAGTATGGGACACCCCCCCCCCACTGACCTAAGAAGCACTGACCCAGTGGGCTGGGAGAGCATGAGGGAGGGATGTTTCAGGGTGAGCTGAAGAGCTCATAGGGGAGAACTTGGGGGATGCTAACCAGCATTTACTTAGAAGTCCTGTATAGCTTAAAGGATGGATGGGTGCAGTGGCATGTGAAGGAAATAGTGATAATGGGAAAAAAATAAGCATTTAGCCAGGACAGAGAAAAGTGTCAACAGCTAATATTGCAGATGAGAATTCCTAAAAGTAGACAGTCAAATATGTCTTGTGTTACTGGGATCTAGAGGCTAGCTGGGCCTGAAGCAGTAACTGCTCACATGCCTGTTGGCATGGGTCATTATACAGCATAGTGTGTAAAATACTAAAGCTAAATTTTCTTACCCTTTTCCCTTGGGGTACTCATTATCTAAAAGAAACAGCCTGACCCACATTTTGAGGCAACTGCTTTCCTAGAGGCAATGGCTAAGACCAAGCACATGAAAGTAACATTATATCCTGTTATTTCAGGGGCATCCCAGTAACCTGCATCACATCATGACTACAAACGTGCAGATGTCTATCATCCGCAGCAATGCTCCTGGGCCCCCTCTTCACATTGGAGCTTCTCATTTACCTCGAGGTAAAGACTACACATTTTGCTCAAACTCTTGAAATGCGATGGCAGATATACATTTGGAGAAGATATGGTAAAACACAATGTATCCAGAATCAGCTTATTAAAGTTCCAAAACAATGTAGCCTATAGACCTACGGGCCAAATAAACCTCTTTCCTTTAAAAAATAAATAAAAAAAGTTACAGAACAGTAAAAGTAAACTAAACTTAGAACAATACACATTTTTAGCATGATCTAATATGTGCTTATTATAATTTTTTTCTCCTTTTTTATTTATAAAAAAAAAAAGATTTCTCATTGATTCTCCCTGCACATAATATGTGCTTTTTTTTTTTTTTTTTTTTTTTTTTTTTTTTGAGACAGAGTCTCACTTTGTTGCCCAGGCTAGAGTGAGTGCCGTGGCGTCAGCCTGGCTCACAGCAACCTCAATCTCTGGGGCTCAGCCTCCTGAGTAACTGGGACTACAGGCATGCGCTACCATGCCCGGCTAATTTTTTGTATATATATTTTTAGTTGGTCAATTAATTTATTTCTATTTTTGGTAGAGACGGGGTCTTGCTCAGGCTGGTTTCGAACTCCTGACCTTGAGCAATCCGCCCGCCTCGGCCTCCCAAAGTGCTAGGATTACAGGCGTGAGCCACCGCGCCCGGCCCAATATGTGCTTATTACAGTTGCATTACAGGTGTGTTTATAAACTTACAGCAATTCAAATTTTTAGTATGGTCTAAAAATTATCCTTTAGATGGTAGAACTCCTTAAAGCTTTGATAGTTCATGGTCATCTTTTTAATAAATAATTCACAAATATTAATACTCAATTTTCTAAAGTTTAGTAATAATGGTTACTCAATTTTTTTTTTTTTTTTGTTACTTACATAGCAATAAGATTTTTTTTTGTTTTTGAGACAGAGACTCACTATGTTGCCCAGGCTCGACTCAAACTCCTGGGCTCAGGTGATCCTCTTGCCTCAGCCTCCTGAGTAGCTGAAACTACAGGTGTGTAACACTGCACCCAGCTAAGATTATTTTTACCATTATGTTCTAATAGATTGTAAGGTAGTAAATTTCATGAGCTTTGACCAGAGATTGTTACTAGAAATTATAAAACAATTGGAGATTATTGGCCAAATCAGGTTAACAAACAAAACCAGGTTTGCTTGGTCATAGCATAACTTGGTGGTTCTCAAAGTGTGGTTCATAGACCCTTTTAGGGGGTCTGTGGAGTCAAAATTATTTTCATGCAAACATTCAGACGCTATTTGCCCTTGTCACAGTGTTAACCTCTGTACTGACAGTGCAAAGGCAGTGGTGGGTAAAGTGGTTGAGCCTCGCCACACTGTGCTGTTCATTGTGTGCTTCACCACCATGTACTTGCAGTTAACAGAAACAAGAACAAAGCAACAACTAGTTTCATTTAAGATTGTTTTTGAGGAATCAATATAAATTATTATTAAATCTATTAAGTACATGTTTTCTTAATTTTCTGTGTAATGAAATGGGAAGTATACATAATATATTTTAGATGAATACCGACATACTATCTGAATTTTAGGGATTATTTTCCTAGGGAATATGATTGTAAGCCCATAAGCCATGCTAATAAAAATACTTTTTTTCAGGTGCAGCAGCTGCTGCTGTGATGTCCAGTTCTAAAGTGACCACCGTCCTGAGGCCGACTTCGCAGCTGCCAAATGCCGCTACAGCTCAGCCAGCAGTACAGCACATCATTCACCAACCGATTCAGGCACGTCAAGTTTGGGGGTACTCAGCCAGCAAGCGTTAAGGGCCTAATTGGTGGTATTCACTCCGCCAGGCACTGGGAGAGTCCTTGACCTCAGGAACTTTCACTATAGTTGCCAAGACATAGGGAAGTTTGAAAGATACACAGTGTTGAATGGCAAGTGGTTGGAACGTGGAAAAGTGAGGGAAATCTTTGTGTTAGGATGAGTGTGGTGATGAGGATCCAGAGAAGTGACGAGAATGTGAAAGGGGAATGAACAAATAGCAAGGAAGAGAGTGATGGATATAGACAGTGTTTAGTAAAGGCTAGCTAGGACAGAGAAGGGGTTTAATTGGGGGGGTCTATGAACCCCTAAAAGTTTTATGCACATTTTTATGCATGTATGTATGCTTTTCCAGGAAGATGGTCCATGCCTTTCAACTTTAATTAAAGGAAGTCTATGGCCTCAGTACTATTGAAGTGTTAGTAGGAAATATTGTATTATCTGCAAATTGGGGACTCTTAGCGTAAAGTTGATTTTGTTGACAGTAGAGAGCTGCTATTTTGTTTTTTTAACACAATGGCTTTGTGTATGATTTAAGAAAGGTCTTTGAAAGATACGATTAATCGAGCTGAATTACATATAGGAGGTCAAAATTCAGATGCCTTCAGAAGTCAGACAGGTAACATGTGTGAAACAGCTGGGTTTAAGATGATAAAGAAGAATCTTGATTAGGACACAAGCTTTCAAGCCTACAGCTTTTCTGGCCTACAGCTTTCAAGTTAAAACAAAATAAAGATCTTACTGGCCAACAAAACACAGGTGGAGGGTGAGAAGGCCCCAAGGAGTAACATGAAGAGTTAGAGAAAGATGACAACTTCCTAGTAAGGAAGATGGTATAGTAGCCCTAATGTGAGACATGCAGCTATGCACAGTTGGAGCCACAGATAAGAGGGCTGCAGGTGAGGAGTGAGAATGAAGAATGGGCAGAGTTTGGTGACCTCACTGCATGTATCAGGATCAATAAAGAGAGAGGAATCAGAAGAACTCTGGTGATTAGACAGGTGGATGAGGCCCAGTGTGGGGCTTGTTTGTCAGGTGAAGATTCCACACAGAGATGTGGTGATAAGTGCTCTTTGTTTATGTGCAAACATCCAGAAAGCACCTGGGCACCTTGACTCTTTAGCCAGGAAAGAATACAGGTACCTTGTGTGTTTGCCTTTTGCACGCTAACTTAGATGGCCTGAGAGCCAGCAGCTCCATCCAGTAGCTGAGCAGGCCCTCTGTGGAAGGCTCTGGATTGTGTGGTAGTATAAATGTCTGCAGCAGGACCAACAGTAGATCCACAGGAACTCTAGATCTAAAGCATTAGGTCACAGTTTGTTCTAATAGAACGTTAGAATTTTGACTCCAGTGATATTTGCACAGAAAGGACTCATGTACTGTCCTAACAAAATAGGATTTTTTGATAATTCTGACTCTGGGTCTTATTAAATCGTATCTTAAAAAGAGAATTCCTTGGGCCAGGCACGGTGGCTCAGGCCTGTAATCCTAGCACTCTGAGAGGCTGAGACAGGTGGATTGCTCAAGGTCAGGAGTTCGAACCCAGCCTGAGCGAGAGTGAGGCCCCGTCTCTACTAAAAATAGAGAGAAATTAATTGGCCAACTAAAAATATATAGAAAAAAATTAGCCAGGCATGGTGGCGCATGCCTGTAGTCCCAGCTACTTGGGAGGATGAGGCAGGAGGATTGCTTGAGCCCAGGAGTTGGAGGTTGCTGTGAGCTAGGCTGAAGCCATGGCATTCTAGCCTGGGCAACAGAGTGAGACTCTGTCTGAAAAAAAAAAAAGAGAATTCCTTAATCAGAATAGTGAGAATTTACTTTATTTATTTATTTAGCTTTTTAAAAATTTATTTAAATAGATTTATGGGTTACAAGTACAGTTTTATTGAAGGACATAATGTGTAGTGGTCTGGGCTTTTACTGTACGTATCACCTGAATAGTGTGCATTGAACCCAACAGGTAACTTTTCATCCCGTATGCTCCTCCCACCCCACCACCACCTTTGAAGTTTCCAATGTCTGTTACTCAACTCTGTGTGACTATACATATCCATAACTTAGCTCCCAGTTGTACAGAGAGAATTCACTTTAATTGGGACAGAAACATACTTATTTAGAGGCCTAAGGTTTAAGGTTTATACTGTTAGTGTTGCCTAATTATATTTTATTTTGCTTCTTATTTAAATGAAAAATTTTCTCTCTTCTTTTGGTAGTCTCGTCCACCTGTGACCACCTCCAATGCCATCCCTCCTGCTGTGGTAGCAACTGTCTCTGCCACCAGAGCTCAGTCTCCAGTCATCACCACGACAGCAGCACATGCTACTGATTCAGCACTTAGGTATACTTGGGAGTATGAAGATTGAGCCATCCTCCTTCCTTCCCTCCCTCTTTCCTTTCCTTCTTTCATTCATTGATTTAACTCAGCGTTTGTTGAGTGCTTTTTAATGAGCTATGTAGTGTTGTAGATACTGGGGCTACACCAGTGAACAAAGAAATTCTCACCCTCATAGAGCTTCTGTTTTTAGGGGCTGGGGCACAATATATAAATATATAGCTTTTTATTTATTGACTGATTAAGAAGTAGAGTGACAGGGTCTCTTGCCTGTGCTAGAGTGCTATGGTGTCATCCTAGCTCACAGCAACCTCAAACTCCTAGGCTCAAGTGATCTTCCTGCTTCAGCCTCCTGAGTAGCTGGGACTACAGTCACCCATTACCATGCCTGGCTAATTCTTTGTAAAGATAGCGTCTTTCTTGCTATGTTGTTGAGGTTGGTCTTGAACCGCTAGGCTCAAGTGATCCTCCCACCTTGGCCTCCCAAAGTACTGGGATTACTGGTGTGAGCTACTGCACCTGGTTATTCAGCTTTTTTTTTTTTTTTTTTTGAGACACAGTCTCACTTTGTTGGCCCAGGCGTAGGGGAGTGGGGTGCCGTGGCCGTCAGCCTAGCTCACAGCAACCTCAAACTCCTGGGCTCAAGCGATCCTCCTGCCTCAGCCTCCCGAGTAGCTGGGACTACAGGCATGCGCCACCATGCCCAGCTCATTTTTTATATATATATCAGTTGGCAATTAATTTCTTCTATTATAGTAGAGACGGTCTCGCTCTTGCTCAGGCTGGTTTTGAACTCCTGACCTTGACAATCCGCCCGCCTCGGCTCCCAAGAGCTAGGATTACAGCGTGAGCCCACAGCGCCCGGCCTGTTTTTGTTTTTTTTATTTCGGCATATTATGGGGGTACAGATTTTAAGGTTTCAATAAATGCCCATTTCCCCCCCTCCCCCCACAAGTCTGAGTCTCCATCATGACCATCCCCCAGATGGGTGCACATCTCACTCATTATGTATGTATATACTCGCCCCCCCTCTCCACCTGCCCAATACCCTATTACTGTGAGTACCTATGTGTCCACTTAGGTGCTACTCAGTTAATACCAGTTTGCTGGAGAATATATCTGGTGCTTGTTTTTCCATTCTTGGGATACTTCACTTAGTAGTATGGGTTCCAGCTCTAACCAGGAAAATATAAGATGTGCTATATCACCGTTGTTTCTTAGAACTGAATAGTACTCCATGATATACATATACCACATTTTATTAATCCATTCTTGGATTGATGCGGCCACTTTGGGGCTGTTTCCACAGCCTTGCAATTATGAATTGTGCTGCTATAAACATTCGAGTGCAGGTGTCTTTTTTGTAGAGTGTCATTGGATCATTTGGGTAGATGTATTATCTACTAGTTGTGTGACATAAAGCAAACTTCTCAACTCCTTGATCCTTAGGTTCCTCTTCAATAAAATGGAGGTACTTTGCTTTGTGGTAATTCAGTATGTTGCCTGAGGTATAAAGAGACAATTGCCCAACATAGATTAGACAACATGTTGTTGTCTAATGCGCCACCATGCCCAGCGCATGTTGTCTAATGCGCCACCATGCCCAGCGCCACATGCGCCACCATGCCCAGCTAATTTTTTTTTTCTATATATATTAGTTGGCCAATTACTTTCTTTCTGTTTTTAGTAGAGACGGGGTCTCACTCTCGCTCAGGCTGGTTTCGAACTCCTGACCTCGAGCAATCCGTCTGCCTCAGCCTCCCAGAGTGCTAGGATTACAGGTGTGAGCCACCACACCCAGCCCCCTCCAAGTATTTTCAATCTGTGTTTGGTTCAACCGATAGATGTGGAACACACAGATACAGATGGCTGATTGTACAGTGGAAACTATGGTTATGGCTTTTTAAATCATTTTATCGAAATATCTCTTCCAGTATATTGAGTGTTTTAATTAAAAATTAGATATTGAATTTTGTTGAATGTGTTTTGCAGCATTTACTCATACAACACTAGAAATATACTAGTGAATTAACAGACAGAAACCCTAATCAGTTGATTTTTCTACTTACTGTAATTATGATAATTTCCTAATTTCTAACTTTCCTTGAATTCTGGAGATAGAAAATTTAAACAGACTGATTTTTGTAGAAGAAATAGAAAATAATTTCAAAGCACTGTCTCCAAGAAAAGCACCAGGCCCATCTGATTTCCTAGAATTCTACCAAACACTTAAGGGTTAGCCAAACCAATGATAATGAAATTGGTTCAAGGTATAGAAAAAGAAATAAAATTGCAGAAAAATTCCAGTGGTAAGTCTTTCTTTTTCTGTTAAATACATTCAATCCTGTCTGTCAGTTCTTTGACCTTTTTTTCATTCATCATGTGGTTGAATGAAATTTATTCTCTATTACTTTCTTCAAGGAGCGTTTATCTAAAGGACCAGTACTTTGAATTTATACTTGCTTCAGAATCATTTCACAGATACCTTTTTAAACATTAGTTTGGCCAATAGAATTTTTTTGTTGTTGTTTCTGTATTTCTTTTCATGAGTATTTTTTTCTCTTTCTCTAGAACTGAATGATGCTGTAGAGAAATCAGAGGCCAACCTGATTTTTTTTTTACCCCTAAAAAACACCTCAATCTTTTTGGTTGATGGCCCAAGGTTCTTTATCTTGAATTTCAACAACTTTATTAGAGTATGTCTTGTTCTGACCATTATGTGTGGTTTTTGTTCTGTAACATGGTATGCCTTTTCAATTTGTAGCATAAAACTGTATGAAAAGTTTTCATGAATTATTATTTTTTTTTTTTTGAGACAGTCTCGCTTTGTTGCCCAGGCTAGAGTGAGTGCTGTGGCATCAACCTAGCTCACAGCAACCTCAAACTCTTGGGCTCAAGCGATCTAATCCTGTCTCAGCCTCCCCAGCAGCTCGACTACAGGCATGCGCCACCATGCCTTGCTAATTTTTTCTATATATATATTAGTTGGCCAATTAATTTCTTTCTATTTATAGTAGAGACAGGGTCTCGCTCTTGCTCAGGCTGGTTTCGAACTCCTTACCTCGAACAATCCACCCACCTCGGCCTCCCAGAGTGCTAGGATTACAGGTGTGAGCCACCGCGCCTGGCCATGAATTATATCTTTATATATACATTCTATTCAATTTTATTAGGGGGCACCCAATTATGTGTATGTTGGATCTTTTTGAATGCTTATTTAATCCTTTTAAACTGTTTGTTCCCTTTTAAACTTTTTGTTCCCTTTACTTTGTTTTTAGCATTGTTTGTTCTACTCTTTAGAGTTCTGCCTTCATTCCTGAAACAGTTAAACAGTTGTCTTCTGTTTCTTTCTTGAGCTGAGCACATTTATTTTTATCTTGTTTTATTGTCCTGTCATTGCTTCCATTTAGCTCTTATTCTTTGCTTTGTTTTTTACTAGAAGCAGTTATTTTGTTATGGGTTTTTGTTTTGATTTCTGAGGCAGGGTCTCATTGTGTTGCCCCGGCTGGAGTGCAGTGGCATCATCATAGCTAACTGCAACCTCAAACTCGGTCTCAATGATCCTCTTGCTTCAGCTTCCTGAGGGCACACATCATCATGCCCTAATTTTTCTTTCTTTTTTTTTTTTTTCATAGAGACAGTGTTTTGCTATGTTCCTATAAGGCTGGTCTCTAACTTATGGCCTCAAGTGATCCTCCCACCTCAGCCTCCTAATGTACTGGGATTATAGGCATGAGCCATTGTTCATGTTTTTTTTTTTTTTTAACTCATGGAAGTTTTCATCTGCCCAGTGAAAGTACTTCTAGTGTTTTTCTCTTGTTTTTCCCTACCTTTTTCTTCTTGTAGCATTTTTATTTTTATTTATTTATTTATTTTTGAGACAGAGTCTCGCTTTGTTGTCCAGGCTAGAGTGAGTGCCATGGCATCAACCTAGCTCACAGCAACCTCAATCTCCTGGGCTCAGGTAATCCTCCTGCCTCAGCCTCCCGAGTAGCTGGGACTACAGGCATGCGCCACCATGCCCGGCTAATTTTTGTATATATATTTTTAGATGGCCAATTAATTTCTTTCTATTTTTGGTAGAGACGGGGTCTTGCTCAGGCTAGTTTCAAACTCCTGACCTTGAGCAATCCGCCGCCTCTGCCTCCCAGAGTGCTAGGATTATAGGCCTGAGCCACTGCACCCAGCCTCTTGTAGCATTTTTAAATAGGTCCTGTGTTAGTTCCTTTCTGAGCACTCATCTTTGAATGGGTTATTTAGTGTGTTAGGAGAAACGTTCCAAATGGCTTCATGTCCTGAGTTTTCTTGACCATTGCTTCTCCCCTGTCAGATTGACCTTTGAGAATGAGAAAGCCTCTCTCGTCCCTGGGTTTCCCTGCACACTGTTTCCCACAGATGAGGCTTATCTCATCTGTGTGATTCTAGTTCAAGCCTGTGTCCTTTGCTTCTTAAGCTTTCGCTACCATCCCTGTTTGTACTGTTATAAATGAAAGATTTTGGTTTCTTGTATCAGAATGTATTCCTCATTTTGGAGAATTATACTTTATGGGATTTTATCTCTGAAATTATAGCCTCAGAAATCCTCTCAATTGGCTCCTGAGTCCTGTTTAGTTATCCCTTCCTTTGGGAGTTCTATCTGTTCTGGTTTTTTTTGAGATTTCAGGTGTCTCCTAGTTTTGCCAAAGGTGGACACTGAATGTCTCTTTTTTTATTGTTTGTTTTGCTTGTTACTGTTCTCTGAGAGGAGGAGAAAATATCAAATTGGCAGTCTCTGCCTGCAGTACTCTTGTCTTTCCTCCAAAGAAGCCAAACCAGGACCCATCTGAACCCTGGAGGGTAATCACAAGTCCACTTGTAAATTAACCCCCTTATTTTCTGTAGACATCAGCTCACTAAATGGGTCTCTATCCCTGGAGTTGCCTTTCAAGCTCTTTTAAAAAAAATGCTGATCACTGGGAGAAATACAGGTTGAGTATTCCTTGATCGAAAAATCCAAATTCCAAAAT